AAAGATGACAGTAATCACTGACTTCTACCGGATCCTATAGCATAGCAATCTACATGATCCTCGACATACTAGTAGGACTTATAGGATAAGGATATATATATGCAAGTGGTTTTCATTCAACTCCTTAAAACTTAAAGCACAAGCATAAAATAAAGTGCGTAATAATAAGGGTTATGCACCGGGCTTGCCTCGGGTAAGACATAGCCAAAAGTTAGCATTCCTTCATGGTGACATGATCATCAAGGCACCATCTTTTCCTCTACTTCGGTCATCTCCACGATCCATCGTTGTTCCTATTATGATATACGTGGATGCAACGCAGAGACGCAATTAATCAATAGTAATCGCAACTCTATAATATGATTACACCGCAAGCTTAACGAAAGCTAGATTTTATGACTAACGCATTAGTCTACATATCCAAGACGTCAAGTAAGGCTTTGTCTCCGGAACAATATTTTAGTTTTAAAATCCCAAGATGTTTCAGCATTTTATTGCTTAAACATATATTTTTGAACTATGGCTCATTTAGTCACCTTAGCAAACTAATTATTATGGAGCTACAAAAATTACAGTGAACACCAAATAATGTTAGGAATTTACTGTGAAAGTTTCAGAGCCAACACTATCACCAATTTATCACAACAATTCCTACAAGTTTATATTTTGACAATATTAAGTATCTCAAATTAATTATATAACTACTAATAATATTATAAAACCATGTGAACAAAATATACTAGCAGATAGATCATGATTTTAGAAACCGAACAAAATTGGTCTCACAATTTTGGTTAACTACATAATTTTATACTCGAATTTACAAGTTTACCTTAGAAACTAAATTAGAAAATGCATTAGAAAAAGAAAAGGCCATCAACAACCTCTCAGTTCGGTAGCCTAGGTCAGCATGGGCTGCGTCACAAGACGTATGGCAGCCAAAGAAAAGCCAAGGTCAGGCGAAGGCATGACGGCGATTTTTGCGTAAAAGCCCTGTGCTTTTAGATAATAACATGACTACTATGCGCATTTATTCCTACCGTCAAGAACTTTGCAACCACACCCTTGGATGTTTTCAGATTTACCATGGGAGGTCCCTAGGATCTCAGCGTGCAGCTGCCAAGACGGGCGGCCGACGGCAACATAAGTTACGCCGGGCAACCTAGGCGTTCTACAACGGAAGTAAGGGGCCAACCACCATCTACAGCTAAACGCGCAAGGATGGGTGGCGGTTAGGGACTCGGAGGCGCACTGTCACGGGCTGCAGCGGCGAGTGGCTATCCGTGACGGTGGCACGACTATTTCGGCGAGCCTACGCCCTCACGGAAAGGTAGAGATGGCGGAGGAGCATCAAGAAGCTCACCGTGGTGCACACCTCACCGATGGTTGAAGCAGGAGCACGGCAACGGTCAAAGCCACGTATGCATCGAAGGGCGGCGGCGCTCTGCGATGGACACCGGCATGTCACCCCACCGACGATGAGTACCCTGGGCAAAATAGCACGAGCACCGGATGAAGGAAGTCAAGACGAGCTCAGGGTTACGAGCAATTGACCTACTACCACTCCTACATGCCTTACCTCCAAACCCACTAATTCGGCGGTGCCCATGATCGGCGATGACAACAAGGCCAAATTATCACTGGTTAGTAGGGCATGACCGAGCTTGAGGGGAAGGATACTGCTAGCCTACTTCCTAAGCTACCCGCTAGAGCGAGGAACTGAACGGCAAAGCCGCTGGCGCTAGGCAAAATGAAGGGCGGAAAAGCAGAGCTCAAGCCATGGTCAAGCCATGGAGGAGCACACGAGTGAGCACGAGGGGATTAAGACGGGCGGCTCCGATCGAGCCGCAACACTAGCACATGCACATAGGTGGCGGGATAGTGGAAGGATTGGCGCGACGCGCTTGAAGTGGAGCGACCGAACCCGAGCCGCTCGCACCGGCATCGGCTAGCGGGGGCAAGTGAGGTAGGAAGGCATCCCATCGCCATTGTGAGCGGGCCATCGACCAGACATGAAGCAGCATACGCCAAGGGCATGACATGGTAGGTGATACGAGGGTGAGGCGACGCCACGTCGACCGAAAGCGATGCAAACCGCAACCATGGCGTAAGGCGGGAAAGGCGGAAGCGGGCAAGATACGGGCGACCAGCCACAAAGAGGGCGATGACAAACCCGCCAGGCCGGGTCACGGCCACCCGCGCGCCAGATAGGGCTGACCGGCTTCGCATCGCAAGACGCTGGAACGCGGCCACCGTGACGACGCTGAAAGTGGTTGCGCGAGGTGACCACGCGCATGGATCTCAAAACCCAATTTTAAACAAAGAAGGCCATCCATAGGACGCAAAGATTCTTATTGTCGTGGTCTCCAAAGTTCCACAAGTCCCCACCTCGAGCGCCGTTGATCCTCACACTGTTGTAATTAGACCTAGAACCAAATACTATCCTAGAAAAGCTCATCACTACCGGTTCAAAACCCTACCATGTCGGGTTTTTTAAACTGGCAAGATAGGAAGCGGCGATGATGAGGGGGCTCATCAACGCCATTCTAGAAATGACATTTTTTAATACCGAGTGGTCACGCAATTTTTGCGCAAAAACGATGCCTTGGCGGGCCGCCGAACGCTGGAACCCACGACGCCGAAGCCGCTGCTCGTTAGATCCAAACGCTTCACCCATAAGACACTTGTGTTCATTTGGGATATTCATCCTTCCCATTTTATGTTCATCTGATTTTTGAAATGAGTATTTGAAACCCTAAGCGAATTCAAATAAAAAAGTTGTCAATTACAAAATTTTTATAACTTTTGAGATTTACAACTTTGGTTTGGTCATTTATCCATCCGAGGTTGTTTGAAAAATTGAATATCGAATGTGAGAAAATTTCAAATGTAATTTTCCATGGATAGATGATTTCAAACGAAAAAGTTATCAATTACAAAGCCGCATAACTTTTCGAGGTCTACAACTTTTATTTTGGTTGTTTCTCCATCCAAGGTCATTTGAAAATTCAAATTTCAAATATGAGATTTCAAACGTAATTTTCATTAGATAGATGATTTAAAATGAAAAGTTGTCGACATCACAAAGTTGCATAACTTTTCGATATCTAACACTTTTGTTTTGGTTGCTTTTTCATCCGAGATTCTTTCCTACTACCACTACACATTCACTTGTGATGATAAAGCATATGGGTTCCTTTTGGTATTAACTCAACAAAATCTTGTGACTCAAATATTTTGGCATCAAAACGACTTCAAATAAAAAGTTGTGAACTACAAAGTTGGATAACTTTTCCGATATCTACAACTTCGTGTTGGTTATTTCTCCATCCGATATCTTTCCTACAACTACACACTCATTTGTGATGCATATTTAGACATCCAAACGATCTCAAATCAAAAAGTTTAAACTACAAAGATGTAGATCTCATCGAGTAGTAGAACTTTGGTATAAAGTTTGTCTATATCGGACATCATATGAGAATGCTATGAAATTTTTTGTGTTGTCTATTATTATCGGGTCATGTCCTGAACCAAAGAAGTGATAGTATCACTGCCGTTCAAGCCAAAAACTGGCAGAGATGAACCCAATATCACGGGCCGTTTGCTCCTATCACTATCAGTTTAAGCGACAAACCGGTAGTGATGGGCTAATATACACTATCACTGCCTGTTTGTAAGCTAAACCGACAGTGATGGGCCGGCAGTGAAGGTCAGTTCTGTAGTAGTGAAAGCCAATAGGTCCCTCGAATAAGACCTGCAAAGAGAATTGGATCGGCAATTGTCAACAACAACTGTGTTCCTTGTTAGCCGCCTCAACAATAAGAGTGACAGAAAATTCTTGTATTTCCAAGAGTACCATATATTAAACAAGTTTTGGGTATTCCAAGGTGAATTAATTCTAACACTCTTCACAAAAAAAACACGACATGTGAGCATTCAAAGAAAAGATGTTACATTAAGTCCAGTAAGTCCATCATGAGAGCATGCCTGGCAGGTGTACCTAGGTACCAACTACCAAAGCTAACTTCTCTAGAATTTTATCTGCCATTTGTTGCATTCATATATACATCGCCTGGCCGGTGATTTTCTGCTCAGGCGCTTATGGTCCGGCCGCCGTCGACGTAGATGACTTGGCCGGTGACATAGGACGCCGCCGGCATACACAGAAACGCCACCACCGACGCGATCTCCGCCGGCTCGCCGCTCCGCTGCAGCGGAATACGCGACAAACTTTTCTTTCTCCAGGATAAACGGGACCTGTGTCAACCACAAATTAACACGGTGAGAGAGTGACTGAGTTTTATGTTTGACGTCAAGTAGACGGTTAAATTCAAATAGAAACAAATGTTTTAAATAATTAATATACGAGTGTTTTTTAAATAAACGCAATTAATATGTGCTTCAGAAAACAAAGCTTGAATGCATGGATGCCGTCCATTTTAACGTAGTGTATACGTACTTGTTGTTTGGCCATATCCGTGACGACAGTGCCTGGTGCGACGCAGTTCACACGAATCTTTTCACTGGCCCACTCGACAGCGAGACTCCTTGTGAGCTGGTTCATCCCCCTCTATATATACACGCGATTTAATACATTTTATTTAACAGCTCGCCAAGAAATCTATTTATTGTAGTCACAAGGAGCTGCTCCTATCTTTCTTTGTTTTTTTATTATTTACCCTTGGTAACTGTAACTACTGTATACTCTCAATGTCCCTGTTTATTCATCGCTATAGTTTACATGCCGGTCAAATATTTTTTAGTTTGACTGGATTTATAGAAAATATTTGTAATGTTTGCATCACCAAATAAATTTATTATGAAAATAAATCCATTCATCTATCTAATGGTACTAAAAATATTGATATTTTTGTATATATATTTTTGTTAAGTTGATTACGTTTGACTTCTCGTGAGGTGAGGACGACAGTTAAAAAAGAGAACACAGGATTATTTTTCTGCCCCCGCCGGTAGAAATACAAATACGTACAATACCTTTAGCAGCAGAGTAAATCGCCACGTTCGGGGCGCCAAGGCAGCTCACGCAACGGAGGAGATGTGGACGATGCTTCGCCGCCGGCGACGGTGGTTTTCCGGAGGAGCGGGTGCGCGAGCTGGCTGATGTGGAAGCACGACTCCAGGTTGGTGGCCATGATCCGCGCGTAGTCCTCTGCCGTGCACTCCGTCGTCGGCCTGAACACCATCTGCGCCGCGTTGTTCACCTGCCCAGCATGCAGCCAAAACCAAATTAACGTCGCGTGCATGGCAGGCCGGGGATGCTTTCATAGTAAGGCCTCATTCAGTTCATGGACGATCGATTCGTTCGCATCCGATCCTGCGCTTACTTACAAGGATGTCGAGCTGGCCGGCGAAGACGTCCGTGACGGTGTCCATGAGCGCCTCCCTCTCGGCGTGCACGGCGACGTCGCACACGGAGACGGTGACCTGGAGGCCCTTCTCCTCCGCCCACCGCCAGCGGCACTCCTCCAGCTCTGCGGCGTTGCGGGAGCACGTGTGCACCCGCGCGCCGAACGCCGCCAGCTCCTCCACGATGGCGTGCCCGATGCCCTTGCTCCCGCCGGTGACCAGCGCCGTCGCGCCGGCCAGGTTCCACCGCTTGTTGGGCATCGCTGCCATCCCCGGTCCTCGATCTCTAGCTATTACATACGTTGGGACTTGGGACTTGGGACTTGGGAGAGAGCCATTGCGCCTGAACGCTTATTTATATCGCTCAGGTGAACAATTAGTCAAATTATTAGCTTTAGGGTTACTTAAAATCTGGTACGTACATACATATACAAGCGAAATTTAGATATTACAAGTACTTTATGTTAAGAAGAGTCGTAGCGAATATTGCAAGGTAGAGTAATTTTTCTTTTTTTTTTTGAAATGAAGGTAGAGTAATTAAGTTGATGTAGACAGTCCGTTGTGCGCGGTTCAGTTTAAGTCCGCTAGTCCACAGGATGTCAGCAAAGCTGCACCACGTAGACGCTACCCGGCCCACCAGCTATTGTCAGTGTCTTCGTCTTATCTGACACGAGCCTCTCATCTTCTGAGGGCCGAAATATCGGTGTTTGGCCCACTGAGAGGAACGTAGAAATTCGACAGTAATAATATAGTAATTTCACGTGATTCAGTTAAATATCACAGAAAAACACACGAACAGGAAAGACTTCCTGTGAATGAGTAGGTATACCGGTATATTAACATGTGTTTTTTCCATTGATAGAATCTTACATTGGAGCGTAGAAATTCGACAGTAATAATATAGTAATTTCACGTGATTCAGTTAAATATCACAGGGAAAACACACGAACAGAAAGGACTTCCTGTGAATGAGTAGGTATACCAGTATATTAACCCGTGTTTTTTTCCATTGATAGAATCTTACAGAAGATATAAATAATAAAGCTCTCTTTGAACAAAGGATTTACAAAACATAGAAATGAAAAAAAGCATGTAGAAATGAAATGATTCTAACATTTGGAATCCTATAGATTTCAGAACAAAAAGAAAGTTTGAAGATGCCTTTGGAAGCAATGTAGGGATAAACATTGGAAACAAAACATCAAGGTTAGTGTAGAACAACACTATGAAAAAAGAGAAGGATTTTTTTTTGAAAAAGGTGCTTTGTTGGGCCAGCCTAACTCTCCCCTAACTCCATTTACACAGACCACACCCTGCACGTTCTCATCTCCTTCCCTTCCTTCCATGGCTGCTCTTCCCTAATTCCCCTCTCTACAGCACCAAATCCTTGGGGAAACTAGCAAACGGATCAAGGACAACAAGAGGAGCAAGAGGTGCATCTTTTATGTAGATTAAAAATGGTCCTTCTCCATTCCTTCACCGTGTTGCCCTTAGGGTTTGTGGGTGACCAAGGTGAGAGTTGGATTTTGCCCTTCCCTGCACAAGTTGGGAGTTTAGGGGAGTTTGATCATGGGAATAAGTGCACTAGTGGGGAGAAAAGCTGTTTGAATGTTGTTCCTCAATTTCAGTTGAACAGCTTCTGCAGATTTTCTTGGGGAAGTAACTAGAGATACTTAGAGGTAGAAATAAGTGTTTTCATGTACTAGAAAGTTGTGGAGGACCTTCATCTCTATTAGCTCGTAAAGTTCATGATTTTACCCCGAATGGTTTGAGAGATATGATTTTCTAAGTTATTCTGTCATGTTCTGACCAAGTTTTGGACAGAACTGGAAGTAGGATGTTTTGAAGAACCTTAGAGGCATGATGGGACCTTACAAATCATAAGAGATTTGTAGTACTTTTCATTAGATTTCCATATTGGTAAATATCATGGCTTTTGGATAAGAAGAACTCTAGATATAGATTTTCAAAGTTAGATGTATTGTTTTCTCTGTAGAATTTTCAGTTAAGCTTTCCTCATGCATTAGGGCCATCTTTCTAAACCTATCTGCAAATGTGAGTAATATGAAATTGTAGATTATGAAATGGGTTGCCATCTGGTGAAAGTTCATAGTTTTTTGAAATAATGATAATGGAGATATAAAATGTAAAAGTCTGTTGTCTCAATTCTTAGACAGTTTGTAAAGTCTGTTTTGAACAGCAGTCTAGGCCATCTAAAAGGCATGATAAAATATAATATCTTCATGAAAGTTGCATGCCTTGTTGTGTAGATTCGAAAGTGTATTTGTTTGCTATTATAGCCATGAGAACCAAATATAGGGGTATGTTAAGTCCCCGGAGAGGCTCTAACTGACGAGACCCCTCAACCAATCCTCTAGGATCACTACAGGGGGCTCGGAGGGCAATACCCATCAGTTCACAGCTGCTGCCCTCTTCCGTCAAGGTCGAGGGCTCGAGCATGCTGCCTCGGCTTTTCGCCCTGGCTCAACCAGGCCCAAGCTCCTGACCAGCTACCGCTGAGCTCGCCTCTAGCTTGACCTCGAGGCCGAAGTCAACGCTTGGCCACCAACCGACCTCCCGAGCATCGGCCAACCTCCCGAGCATCGGCCCAGCCTCCCGAGCGCCTAGAGCTCGGAGGGCTCAAAGCGCTATGGTGCTAAACCCAACCAGCGAGCGGCGAGGCACTATTCTGCCCGCTTCCTCACCAGGCACGCAGATGGCGTGACAACAGACTCAAATCGCCCACCGGCTCCCGAGGTCGTGTGGCTCGATCCCGAGCCTGCTCATCATCCCACAGGCTATGCCTTCTCCATCAAGTAAGCCTCGAGAATGTTCACTCGTGGACACTTAAACCACCCAGTGACATCCCTTTGGCTGCCAAGGGTCGGGACTTCGCTACGCCAAAGCGGCGCCAGTGCTCCCCCTCGACTCCCATGAGAGCACCGAGGTCCATCCACACCACAAGCACCCTCTAGACCCCGGCACAGAAGACCATAGACCATAGCCCCCAAACCGCCTTTGCCAAACCGAACCTCGAGATATAACGGGAGGGTCGGCTCCATAGAAAGTAGGGCTGGACATTCCAGTTCGGTCAAACACAGAGCAACCAAGAGGAACAGCCAAGCTGTTTCCTCCCAGCCACTCCCAGCAAGAGAAGGAGTGTTTACCTTACTCCTTTGGGAAGAAACCTTAGTGTTCGATGAGCTATAGGATAGCACCGAGCGATCCCCCGCCTGACCCCTTTCTCCTTCGTTGTAACCTCTCGATTTGGGTGCTCTCGAATCCTGAAGAACTACTCCTCACTTTGGGACATTAGAGCCTCGATGGCGCGAACCGGGATACATCGCCGTGTCTTTCTCTCGTGTTCTTGAGTCCACCTTATAACAACGAACAAGGTGAAGTAAATTGCCCTTAATAGATTAAATGATACAAAAGGTGAAGCAATATTGTTGCATTTGACTTAGTGCCTTGTTCATTGTTTTGCTTGTATGTCGGTTGGGGAATAGGAGCGCTTTTACCTACTATGTATATTTGTTGAAATGAGTTCTACCTTTGACATTATACTACATTTACAGATGGTAGTGCTTGGATCGCACATAGAGTGATCATCACTTCATTAGAGTCAAGAAAGCGAAGCGTGTTATTTGCTTTAGCTTGTTCTTTATTCTACCTCCACTCTTTAAAAATCGGAGAAACCAATCCAACACTATATTACATCTCAACCATGTTATGGAATTGTCACATGCTCTATGCTCTCTATTTGAATATCTATGTTTCCAACACTTTGGTTTGATGATGCTCATATTGATTCAATGGAATATGGCTTATTTGTCTACATGGAGAGATGCTCATGATGTTATGTGATTATTTATCTTTTCTCTATGGCATTTTGCATTTGCATCTCATTATTTATTCATTCATTGCCATACGGATCGAAAGTTATGTTGCTACTTGCTAGCTGGGCGCATCGTGTTTAGTTCAAGGGCACAATGAATTAGCGGCTCCATACCTTGTTGGTTATGAAGGGCAGGAGACATGGCATTTGCATTGCATATGCATTATAATCTTGCCCTATGACATGATAGCCTTGGAATAAGGCTTTGGGAGAGTTGTGAGGAGCTATGCTTCTCCAAGGTTTAGTGGTGATTAATCTTTATCTTATATGCGGTTGTATCACTTGTTGGATGTATTGTCTCTTTGTTGTTGGTTTACATATAATGAAGACTAAACTGGTGCTTAATAAACTTGTAGTTTAAATAGGTTGTTAAAGCAGTTTACACGTTGAGATTTTTATATCTCACACCTTCCTTTCTATTTTTCCAGACGCTTAGATGGCTTTTTGCTTGAAGGGTGGAAAAGTAGCGGCAACACCTGACACGCTCATGTCATCTTTTTAGTGTGAAAACTTGTGTTATAATAATACCATGATTGGAGTGGAGCTTCTACTTGAGGAACAGTGATGGGTTTTGTTGCCCCAATTTTTCCCCGTTTCTGTTCAGTGGCATGCAATCTTTATTTGGCATCTTTCTTAAGAACTGTACGTACGTAGCTTCGAGGAACAGCTATGAGCTTGATTAGTAATCATTGGGGACGCAGCCACCAAAGCGAGCGCTATAGGAAAAATTTCCAGTAGCTGGAGAGTGCATTTTTTTCTTTTTTCCAAAAAGTAGAAGCTTGCTCACGGTTCCAGAGGAAAGTCTCGTTCTCTCCATTCCTTTTGTTATACAAACGTTACTGCGGTGAAAAAAACTCTATACGAATTGCATTATTCCTCCATTTTCGTGTGTTCTTTCTATAAACTAAATGGGCCATGCATTACAAATACAGAAATATATGGGAGGCGTGAACCAAATACATGCATGTCTTTTATCATATTTATATTTATACACTTTGCACGGGAAATGAAAGAAAAACAACAAACCTGGCCCACCTTTAATTTGGCCCAAAGAACTAATTAAAAAGGGAAGGTGGGACGGACCCTAATCTAGAGGCATTAAACAGCTTGTTCGGCTGACGAGTTGTGGCGATTTCGACTGATTCAATGTTGTTACGCTGAGAGAGAATAAATTTGAAACAAGCTGAATATGTACCAGTTTGAACACGCTTAAAAAATCCACCTTGCGACCACGGCGGCTTTGGCTCTATACTGTATGACTTGCTTACGCGGGTTTTGTTATGAAATGATGAAATTAAGAAAATTTGAAACATAATTTGCAAAATAGCGCGATGAAAAAAAGGTTCATCAAGCCCCTCCAAAGAAAAGGCTTGCT